TAGGCTGTCCTCCACAATCGGAGAAAGAAGAGGGGGTGGGTTCACCCCCCCCATAACCCCCCACCCTGGAGTTTGCCAAGGTTGAGAAACACTAGTTTATAGGGGCACCAAGATGTTTTTCCCCTCTTATAAAAAGGCACGTGTCGAACTATTCTCATCAACTCATCTTTGAAAAGTTGGGTGTGGTAAAAGCTCCTTGAAAGGGTTTTGTTCCCAATTATATTCCGATTCACATTGCCAGAACACAACCCTGCATTTGAAGTGATTGGATTATTTTCCTTTTTCAGAGGAAAAAATTCCAGAGAGGAAAAGTGTATACTTTATAAGCTATCATTAATAAATCTTTTTACCTAAACATTTTTCAGAATTTCATACGCAGCTCCCAAATTCCTAATTTAGAGAAAGTCTAGTAAAGTTGAGGGAGAAAGGTTCTTGTTGAACCTCATTTTATAAATGAACTCCTTAAAGCAAATGAGTGTGATAGATCCATATTCCTACAGTGTCTGCTATTCACACAGATGGTAATCCTATGCATGTACTACCCTATTTTGAGTTGTAAATGAGAATTTAATAACTGAAAGCTTCATACAATAATATCTCCACTAGAGGAAAAAATGATTGTGTACATCTTCTGGTCTAGCATCTTCTTCAAAATATTCATTTTTTATATTGAAAGGTGTATTTGTATAGGAAAGCATTCCCCTCCACAAGCTGTAATGTAAAGTGATGTAGCCACAAATGTGAATGTATTTTGTTTATACAGAAATATACAGTATCTTATGTTAATGTTTATGAAGCCTTCATTGTGGGTCACAAAGTTCATTCAGTCACAAAATAAAAGTTAAGTTAAATGAACTGTTAAAAATATTGTAAAGTTCTAGGTGTGTTTAGATATATGCAGAGATGCGGTAATAAAAATAAAGAAGAATGCAGGAGATGAAATAGAAAATAGGATTAAAGACATAGCTATTGATATAGGTTCCTAATTATGGTACCCTCCAGATGTATGATCTTCAGCTCCCAGAATTCCCCTTAGCCAATTTGGCCATTTCTAAGAATTCTGAGAATTAGTCCATACATTTATGGGGTGCCCATACTGGGGGAGGCTAATCTCATAAACAGTTGTGGGAAATATCTAGCTTTTTAATCAAGTGTGAGCCAGTTTGGTCTAGTGGTTAAGGCATCAGGCTAGAAACCAGGAGACCCGCCTAGGCACAAAGCCAGCTGGGTGACCTTGGGCCAGTCACTCTCTCTCAGCCCTAGGAAGGAAGCAGTGGCAAACCACTTCTGAAAAACCTTGCCAAGAAAGCTACAGGGACTTGTCCAGGCAGTTTCCAAGAATCGGACACAATTGAACGGATTAAAAAAAAAGTTGCATCTCTTTCTCCACATGCAGAAAGGAAACGAGGATTGCCCAGATGCAACTGCAACTTAAGAATTGAGCTGCCCAGGGCAAAGTATTTCACAGCTTAAGTGTCGATACAGAGAAAGCTTCCCTTCTTATTCTCACCAGCCCCCCTCCTTCCCCGCATCAAAGAACCAAATACAAAGAATACAAAGCATGTAGAGAAAGCTTATTCCATCAACTCTTGAAGACAGACATTAACTGTTTTAGAATCAAACTGATGATTCTGTAGTTCTGGGCACAGGGGGAAACTTTTCAATGTGTTTTGGAAAGCAGATGTGTGCTGACTGCTAAATGATACAGATTCTGTTGCCTGCAGTGGGGATGGGAAGAAAGTCAGTGGGTGAGGGGTTATAGTAAGGAGGATCCTAATGTTTTTTTCCTCTCTTCTCCTACAACACTCTTCTTCTCTGTAGTATTACATGTATGCCCGGCATATGGCCCTTGCAACGGCGTTCCCTGATAACTTCACCTATGAGCCACATGAAACAACCGCGGTAAGTAGGGTCCCTTGTGTGAGATGAAAGAGACATAAGCCTTATATAGAGCCCCCTTACTCTCAAATCCAGTGTCAGCTCAGGCCATAGCTCACTACTGCAGCCACTCCTAAAGTCACAAGTTCAGATCTAAGTATCCCCACTTAGCAGAATCGTTGACTGCCACGGCTGGGAATATTTTAACAATGGCAGTGCCCTCTCCAGGGGTTCTGGAAAATGGCTCTAGATATGACCTGACTCAAATCTTTTGAGAGCCGCAGTCAGTCAGAAGACAAAACGTCCAAACATCAATTCCATCAACCAGTGTCCGTTGAGAGAAAGCATATCCTGGATTTTGCTAAAAAAGCAACGGTCCTGTTCCACCTTTGCCGTTTTTTATATTTATTTGCTTGTGCCCTGCCATCCCTTGCTTTACAATAAGGTTGGAAAAGTTGCTTTAAAAAGTCTAAGAAAGCAGTCCCTGCTTTGAAGGCCTTAGGAGATCAGTTCAATGCAGAGAAACGGGAAAGAGACAGGCAGGAGCGAAAGGGAAGAATATGCATTTGTTTCAGGATAACCGAGCTCAAATTTGTGGAAGGCAAGAAGGGCAGAGAATAAATCAAAATATACTGCTTGGTGAAGTGTGGTGGATTGGCATGGATTTCTGATCATCTCATCTTAATAGCTAGAAAGTTTTTTTGCCCTGCTAAAAATCCCTGAAAGGTTGAGGGGATTTATGGGTGATAGGAATTGTAAGTTTGGTAGTGGTATTGTTCACAAACTCCCAGCTGGGCACATGCTCAGTGGAGTCTTGTTCCCAAATTCGTACGGTCTGTCCATTTACTTGAGCCAGCTCCAGCTGGTGAACCTCAGGGTTCTAATAAAAGGGCAAAGTAGATCCTACAGGATGAACGTCTGTTGCACAGCCTGAGGCTGAGAGCCCATGATGCAGGTCCCAGAAACTCTCTTTCCAAAAGTTGTCCCTGAGTTGTAAACTTTTAAGGTACCAGAATGGGAAACCAGTAAATACAAAGGTGTAATCATATAAAATTTATTTTATTCATTACATTGTAATAACGATGTATCGGTTTGAATGTGGATCTGGCCACTCCTGGCCCTGGCCCTGGCCCTGGCCCTGGCCCTGGCCCTGGCCCTGGCCCTGTCTGTTGTCTGAAATGCAGTTCTCAAAGCCAGGTGTTGTTCTCATCTTGAAAAAAGGAAGAGGAGCTGGGATGCTGGCATCCGATGCTCCTGCACAGTGATTTGAAAGAGAGTTCAGGAGTCCTAGGAGTGGTTGCAGGCAGGAGGGGGGACAAGAGAGACTGGACAAAGTTGTTTCATTCTTCACCATTCTTTTTTTTTTTTTTAATCTACCCTGTCCTCACCTCGGCAGGCTCAGGGTTTCCGCTACCCACGCCCAGCCTCGGTACCACCGTCTCCTTCCATCTCCCGCCACTCCAGCCCCCATCACAGCGAGACCGAAGAGGATGATGAACGGTATGATGAGGAAGAAGAGGCAGAAAAGGACAGGCAGAACATCAAGCCCCCAGCAATGATGGGTCCAGTCCCTGAGTGGCGCAAGCGCTCCAAGAAGGGGTCTAGTGAGGCCAGCACTTCCTCCAATGCTAGCACTCCCACCCTCCCCAGCAGCCCCAGTGACCTCAGCAGCCCCACCAGTTCTCTGATCGAAGAGAAGAATTAGGTAGGCAGAATGGTTGTGCTGACTCGCCTGCCCGCTCTTTCCCACGCCTCCCCCTTCCTCAAGAGGTCAGCTTGTTACCTAGTGCTGCATTCTGAAATAAGCCTAGAGTGTAGGTTCTAGGATGTTCCAGACAGAAGTGGTGGGGGCTCGCACTTGACGTAGTTCAATTAAAGACCAGTAAGATAGTCTTCTCTGGATCAAATAATGCAAAGGGTGGAGGGCCTCTTTTTTTTGGAATGGGTCAGGAAATGACCCTTTGACTCTTTTGGGGAACACAAGATACATTCTTGGGTTCAGCAGGACTAGAAATGTGAGGTCACACATTTCCTCCTCCCAGTCACCCTCCATGTGATGTTTTGGAAGGCACTCTCTAGATCTTAAGAACCTTGCTGCATTTTTTAAAACAATAATAATGGGAGAAAAGGGAAAATGGGAGGCCTTCATGGGAGGGACACAGGAGAGATCTAATGTTGCCTTCCCTTCCCTACCACCAAAGGTTTCATTGAGTCAGAAACAGAGGAGACCTTTTAAAGGCTGCTCATAAAATGAGTGCATGGAAACATTATTACCTTGTTTGGTAACCCTAGATTGTTGGCATAGAGGCCCCATGAGGATGTATGGTGAGCAGGATTTTAGAGTGATCTGGAGGTCTATGAAAGACAGTGTATTGCTTGGAGTTTGGAAACTTTCTTTAAAAGCTATGACTGCTCTTCTGTCGACAGAGCCTTTTTTTAAAGGAAAATAGGGTCTTTCACAATATATCCAGACTATTTCAATTCATACTTTGGGACTGTTTGCCAGTTTCCTCTGCCTGTTTCTGGAAAGGAATTTGCAAAGCCATTTAGAGCAAAGATTCTAACAAAAGGCAGGTCTTCTGAAATGTGCAATTGTAGAAAGATCTGAAAAAGTGCCTATGGTACAGGATACAGAATCTGGCTGGGAAAATAAAGCAGCTTTCCTGCTTGATCTTTTCCAGCCTGTTGTTCTCCAGATGTGCTGGGCTTCAACTCCCATCATCCTCAGCCAGCATGATCAGGGTTCAGGGATGGGTATTGTAAAGTGTCCAAAGGATCTAAATGTGCATTTATATGGGATTTTAAGGTGCAAGGAAACCTAGGTCTACCTTGCCGCATAAATTGCTCTCATGTAGCTCCATCATGACACACAGAAATTAATTCCTTTTCAACAGACTGAAAAAAGTTAGTGGTTTTCTAGAGCTGCCTTTGGAACTTAAAAAATGGAATTTATCCCAGGGACGTTCAAGAGCATTCTAGAATGATTCCAAGGGTGATGATTATTCACTCTGCACAGACCGTGATGAATTTAAGAAGACAGCAGGGTCAAGGCAAGCAGAACTACTGCATGCTTAAAACCTCTGGAAGAAGCTAGGTGAGAGCCTTCTAAAATGCGTTTTGCTTAAGAAAAGTAATAATAGGGTTACTATAGTAATGCTAGTCCAAGCTTTCCAAGTTGGATACCCCAGATGCATGAGTACAACCTCACTATCATCCTAGCTAGGCTTAATGGGAGTTACAGTCTAGCACATCCTAAGCCAGTCTAAAATCCATCAGCTTCCCAGCTTCCATCCTTAATCTTAATGCGAGACAAAGAACTCTGGACTAAAGTAAAGTCCATCACATTGCCCATCAGGTTAAACCCCTTGCTGTTTCTGTTAGAATGATGATGCTGGCTATCTGTGCTCTAGATTGGTTTAGCTCCGAGAATCAGCCAGACCTGTTGAACTCTTCTATCAAATGCTGTAACATTTAGGATGAGGGTTCTGCTGACAATGCAGTACAAAATGGGGTGATCCTGCACCAGGGATGACAGAGTATATGACCAAAACAGGTATTATAGTACAGACATGCAGCGAGGGAAGTACTCCTGGAGGCTGTAAGACTTAATTAGCTGGTATATGGATAATACCCAGTCCAGCATGAGGCAACTACCTCAAAAGGCAGAGCAAATGCCATTGTACACAAGAACCCTTTCTGTTCTGCATCTCCTGCCAACTTTTTCAATACGGAAAATCATTTTTTTTATAAAAAAAAATCTTGTGAAGCTCCTCTTTCTCACAATCCTTTGATGCAATCATGCATAAAGAACCAGGTATTTGGGGATGCAGCTCCCCAAATTCCCAGCCAACTCGGCTCTAAACATGGGGAGACACGGTTCTAACATAGCGGAAGGACACCAGATTGGGCCATAAGCCCCTTTTCTCTTTTCTCCAACTTTCCCCACCTCAGATTTTTATTTATGGATGTTCAAAAGAAATGCTTGAATTTTTGTGTCTCTTTCTCCCTGCCCCTTGTGTGGAAAAACAAGCTATGAAAAAAGCTGGGTGTAAGACAAACATAAATGATTTCAGAATAAAATTTGCTTTGGAAATTGTTTTGGAAAATAGGAAGTGTGCCTTGTGCTGCAGAATAGCTCTTCTAAATCTGCTTTCAGGTCCTTGGGACCACATCGTTGTCCTAGGCAGAATTAGCCAACAATCAAATAATAGGTGCTAAACGCTAAAGCCTGTTGGATTGCTGATGGCCCCACTGGAAAGGTAGCCACTTCATAGGAATGGGTGGCGATGATTCAAAAAGGTGTGTCTGAGTTACACAATTATTGACTTTCTGATGACTGCATTAACTGTATTTAACACTTTTTTTTTTAGTACATGCAGATAGGGCAATTACGAGTACATAGTCCTGTATACTTAACACTCAGGCTCAAAACGTACTTGCCCGTTTAAATCAACTCATACCCAAACCTTAAACTTCATTATAATTACAAATTCTGCAATACGGACGGTTTCCATTAGATAAGCAGAGTTGGGAGTGAGTTTGCAAAGTGCAAACTACCACCGTGCAACCTTCCTATGTGGGCACCTTCTAACTGTATTGGTGTCTACAGGTCCAGATTCTGCGGAGTTGGCAAATGAATCCTTTCTGACCACAGTTGCTGTAAATTAGCAATGTGATTCCTTGCAACATAGTGATCAGCAGTATAGAGACTCCATAAGTGAAACAAGCTTAAAATCCCCACTAAGAGCCAGAAAAAAATTGTCCTACCCACATTTGTGACACAGCCCTATCAGTTTTTTTTCCTGTGGTTCCTTATCTAGAACTTCCAATTCCACATGGCTATTATCTCAAATCTTTCCTTAGCAGCAAATGAAGTTTACGTTAGGAGCATTCCATGTTTGACTCATTTACACGTGTTAGTTGGTCACTATTTGTGACTGAATACTGGATTAGGGGGACGCGGTGGCACAGCGGCTTAATGACGCTGAAAGTTGCCGGCCAGAAATGGTC